CTAGACACACACAGAAATAAGAAAATTAATAATAATCCAGTTGGTTCATCCCAGGTAGAGTAGATCTATAGACTCATTTGTTGTCTGAGGAGTGCAACCCCTAAATAAATCCCATTTATTGTGCCTCCTTTAATTGAGACTAACAATAGGATTCTCTATAATCTCAAAACAAGATGCAAACCACCAAATGCAGGCAGAGAGCTGTAAATGAAAAGAAAAGAAAAGCAGCTAAATTGTTTTTTTTTTAAAAAAAAGAAACCCGCAACATTTTGGATTAAGAAGCTGGAATTTAATACACACACACACACATCCATCCCCCGCCACATTTATTAAAGCATTAGAATAATTGAAATTTGCTGCCGGAGCAGCCCCGGATCTGTTTAAATAAATCTATGGGTGTCTTGTTGTGATAAAAGATTATCTGGGATTCTATTAAAGGCGCAGGAGCCCCCGGTTTGGAAATCCTATTTGAGGGAACTTTCAATAACTATCAGCAAATCTGATCTTTTCAACAACCTCCTGCCGTTTTGGCTTTATCAGAAAGTTTACAGCGTTTTTCGGGAGCATTTGCAGCATCCTTAAACACAGAGACAACACACAATTTAGGAACCCAGGGCCTACCATTCAGGATGGGATTAGAAAAAGAGAAAGGGGGGGGGGATAAAATAAAATAAAATAAAATATTAGAATCTCCTCCACCTCACACTCTTCCATTGAAAAGAAAAAGGGTTGTTGTTGAAGTTGCAGCTGCATCCACACACTGCAGAGTTGATCCAGTTTGATACCGCTTGAACCGCCATGGCTCCATGCTCTAGGATGCTAGAGCTGTCATTTTGTGTGACATTTGACCTTCTAAGGCTGCATCCACACTGCAGAAATAATCCACTTTGACACCGCTTTAACTGCCCTGGCCCATGCTGTGGAATTCTAGGAATTGTAGTTTGTTCTTGTCGCCAGAGCTCTGTGACTTAGGCTGCATCTGCACTGCAGGAAAATAATCCAGTTTGACACCACTTTCACTGCCCTGGCTCTGTAGTTTTCTGAGGCATTGAGCCTTCTCTGCCAGGAAGCCCTGGTGCCAAAAACAAACTACAATTCCCAGAATTCCATAGCATGGAGCCATGGCAGTTAAAGCAGTAGTGTCAAAAGAGATGATCTTTGCAGTGTGGATGCAAGAAGACTCCCAAGGTCTTATTTCTAGTTCAGACTGGATTATTTCTGCAGTGTAGATGCAGCCTTAAAAGGCCTCAGAAAACTACTTCTAGGGCATGGAGCCATGGCAGTTCAAGCAGTACAGAACTGGATTAATTCTGCAGTGCAGATGCAAGAGGACTCCTAAGGTCTTGTTTCTGTTTCAAACTGGATTATTTCTGCAGTGTGGAGGCAACCTTAGAAGGTTAAATGTCTCACAAAGTGACAAATCCTAGAATTCTAGAGCATGGAACCGTGCCAGTTCAAGTGGTATCGAACTGGATTAATTCTGCAGTGCGGATGCAACCTAGGATCTTGGTTCCGATTCCTCCCCTCCACACATCCCTTTTTTCTTCCTCCTCCTTTAGTTTTGTAGTTCAAATCTCACCTGCAGGTTATTTGAACAAACGGTGCCTGTCTGTTTATGGCGTAATTACATCCCTGCGCTTTTCTGAATCAGGTATATTTGTAGCCAAATATTAATTAAAGCCTCTCTCCTTTGGCTTCAACAGGGGCTCTGCATTCATAGCCATGAATTAATGCCAGGTTTCCCCTTAATCCCCCCCACTTATTACCATGTTTCTCTCCCCCCCCTCCAAAGTTAATTTTAGACGGTTTAATACCATTCCAGGGCCTAATTTCCTTTCTTTATGCATAAAGTATCATTTTTAATTGTCAGTAGATGAGACTCTCTCTCTCTCTCGCCTGCCCCAGTAAACCTTTGAAACACCCAGACGGCACTAATTGCTGTTAATTTTCTTCATTAGTTTCATTTACTCTTCAACCTCTTAATTGTAATTTTCTTTTTTTGGTTTTGTTTGGGAAATAAAAATCCCCCTCCAAACCCACCTTTCTGGGAACCAGGATTTCTTCAAAGGTTGCCAAAATAGAGGAGAAAGGGCCTTCCCCTCTTCAGCTTGAAGATCAACCCAGATTCATTCCCTTTTAATTGCATTTATTTAGGCCCCAAAAGCAGCAACCCATGCATTTCTAAACCAAGGGTAGGAATCATGTAGCATTCCAGGTGTGGTTGGACTATAACTCCCAGCAGCCCTTAGCTTGCATAAGCCAGTGATGGTGGGGATGCTGTGTGTTGCAGTTGAAGAATATCTGGTTTAAACTTTTTGGTTGGTTGGTTTGCTTTCTAGCCTGATCTACCTCACAATTCTCTCTCTTGGTCTGGAATAAATGAATGCAATTTTTCCTCTCTTGAGGTTTAAGCTAGAAATGACCATCCCTTCAGGATTCTGAAGTTACATCCTATATTGAGCAGAGGGATTGGACTAGACTATTATTATTATTATTATTATTATTATTATTATTATTATTATTATTATTATCATCATCATCATTATACACTATTGTGGCACTTTAATTGCCAGGGCTGCATCCTTTGGAAACCCGAGATTGGCATTTTGGTGCAGCACTAGAGCGGCTCTCTGGCAGAGAATTCAAAATCCCTCATGAAACTACAAATCCCAGGATCTCAGAGGATCCAGCCATGGCAATTAAGGTGCTATCAAACTGGTATAATTGCATAATGTTAAAGAGATATTAAATGTTAAAGAAATATTAAATATTGCATAATGTTAAAGAGATATTTGGGCCCTTTCCCCAAAAGAAAACAAGCTTCCAGTCCTCAGTGTTCTGAGCAAAAGGCTAATTTAAACATGGTTGAGTTAGATTCTTAGCTCAGTAGTGTTTGGACTGTCTGATTCCAGCTCTCCAAGGTTTCTTCCAAGGATCTTTCCATCTCAAATCTATCCAGTCAAATTGGGATCAGTTTAGGAACTTTGACATTCAAACTGGATCTGTTGTCATCCCAGGAGATGTCCAAGCGGAGTCTCCCTTGTCCGAAATGTTTGGGACCAGAAGTGTTTTGGATTCTGGAGTTTTTCAGATTTTAGAATATTTGCATATACATACTGAGATATCTGCGGATGGGACCCAAGTCTAAACATGAATTCATTTATGTTTCATATGAACTTTATACACATAGTCTGAAGGTAATTTTATACGCAGTATTTTAAATAATTTGGTGCTTGGCACAAACTTTGCGTACACCAAACCATCCGAAAGCAAAGGTGTCACTATCTCAGTTGCCCGTGTGGACATTTTTGGAATTTGGAGTATTTTTGGATCTCAGAATTCCGGCTAAGGAAGACTCATCCTGTATAGATACAGTTTCATCATGTCCTATGGGAGAGAATGACTCCAAGATTTGTTTGGCTGGCTCAGGTAAGCCATCCATGTGATGACCTTGCTTTCTGAGACCATCCATAACTTTAGTCCCATACATTTATGGCACTGAAGTCCATCAACCCACTGTATTTATTTTATTTTTATTTCAAGGATTTATATCCCGCCTTTCTTCCATGATGGGTTTCAAGGCAAATGATATCTATGATATCAAAATGGAGCCTCCATGGACAGAGGCATTATACCTTTAGATTCTGAGGGGAACTAACCATGGGAGAAGATGGTCACTTTCACAGACGGCTTGTGTGAACTTCCCAGAGGTGTCCGAGATGAAATATCAAAATGGAAAGAGGTCTTTGTATATGAATGAATGGGGGATGACTTTTTCTTATGTTATTAATCAGATAGTTCCCTTGCCCTTTTCTCTTGGCATCAATGAGTCTTCCAGGACATGGTCTCTGGGGCTGATACATTATTTTCCAAATCAAGTGAAATTATCCTACCTAGAACAGACCTACTGAAGTTCATGGGACACAAGATAATCCTTAAATCATAGCTCTGAGTCTTCTCCAGAGCTTGGGAAAGTTACTTTTGGGGAGGAATGACAGCTTCCAGCATCCCCCATCCAGCAACTTCGTGGCATCTAAAGAGGACAATCGGCCAAGATCCATCCCAGATTTTTGGTATCCAGCCACAACAGAACCAGAGCATAGCCATCTATGGAACCAAAAATCTACTCCAAAAGGTATCCTAGTTTTTTAAGGGTCATCTGGTGAGAGCAGCAAGCAAAGTGGGGGAAAGCACAAATCCAACAGAAATACATAGTTAGATCCTGGCCATCAAGCTGAGCATTGGAAATGACCTAACGCAGATGACCACTTTTAGCATGACAAATATTTTGATGACCAAATTCTGCCATCAAAGGAGAATGATTAATCTTACCTAATGATAGGACCAACTCCTGAGATTCCAAACAAAGCAAATCTGGTTCCCATCCTGAGTGGCCATCTACCATTTTCCCCAGTATTGTTGATTCTCACTGGCAGCAGATGTTTGGGGCTTAGTTAGAAAGAAGGTCTGCCCCATCTTCAGCTGTCTAAAACTGGAGGCATCCAGGATTCAACCATCATGGGCAGAGGATATATGGATCTCTTCCTGTCATCTAATAATCGGAGTGGATTTCTGACTCCACAGAATAGATCCGTGACTCTCCAAAGTCTGTCCACATTTTCATGTTTTATTTGGCTTAATAAAGGTATCACACAGGCATCTGAGTTTTGGATTTTTCTTTCTTTTCTTTCTTCTTCTTCTTCTTTTCTTTTGCAGTGACTTAATGAGAGGTGGCTAGAAGTTTCCATGCCAGTGGACTGGTGCATCTGTTCTAGATTGTAGTCTGAATTTTAAAGGAAAGTTTCAGATTGTTGACCCCATTTTGGGGACAGGTTTATTTGTGTGTGTGTAGGTAGACAGTTAGGAATCCTAGTCCAACACTTAAACCACTACATTGAAGTAGAGTTTTCTTGTCTAGATTGATTCAGAAGAGCTTTGCCATGGGCTTGCTCTGAGGCTGAGAGAGTGAGACTTGCCCAGAGTCACCTAGTGGGTTTCTATGGCTGAGTGGGGATTCAAACCCTGGTCTCCTGGGGTCCTAGTCCAGCACTCAAACCACTAAACCATTCTGGCTCTAAAAGATAGAGCTTTTCTGCCAAGACTGATCCAGAGACACTTTGCCATGGCCTTCCTCTGAGGCTGAGAGAGTGTGACTTGCCCAAGGTCATCCAGAGTTTGCATGGCTGAGTGAGGAATTGAACCCTGGTCTGTCAGAGTCCTAGTCCAACAGTCACAACTACACCATTCTGGCTCTAAAAGATAGAGCTTTACTACCAACATTGGTCCAGAGATGCTTTGCCATGGCCTTCCTCTGAGGCCGAGAGTGTGTGACTTTCCCACTCCCATTCAGGGTTTGCATGGCTGAACAGGGAATTGAACCCTGGTCTGTCAGAGTCCTAAACCAACACTCAAACCAGTACACCATGCTGGCTCTTACAAGCTAAACTATATCTCCTGACTATTTTTCAAGGTTGTCCAACAACCATGATTGGTGACTCCCAGGTCAGCAGGTCGGTGAATCCAATCCAGGTTTTAGTTGAGTTTTCAGGGAGCTATCCAAGGTTCCAGACCTCCTTTGAGAACCAGGTTCATTCCTTTGGATAGCACCTCTAAATTCAGACTAAAACCCAAAGCAGACCTCTCATTTGTCTGACATGGAAGTTACACCAGTCGCCGCAGTTGCAGCTGTCATCACTCCATCTCCCAACCTTCTCTCTGTTCCTTCGTCCAATTCCACTTTGGTTATCGCTGCCACTGATGTCTCTTCTCTATCCCTCTCTCCTTTCCTGCTCATTATCACCTTATGAAAAGTGTTTCATTAAGAAACACTGCTTTTGATTAATTATCGACAGAACGCTGACCGGGGAAAAAAAATCCGAAAAAGAAAGAGAGAAATGAAATTAGTCTTTGACCCCATCTACGTAACTCTGAAATTTCATCACCTCTCCCCTTTTAATATTGAAAAGCACCATTGAATTTTAATAGGAAGGGAAAAAATACTAGTGTCTTTCTGGAATCTCCCCCCCCGCAAAGCCTCCTGCCCCAAATCCAAACCTTACCCAGTCTTTATTAATACCCCAAAGCAAAAACTGATATTGCTTTCAATCTGGCAGCTTTTGTTCATTTTAAATTTATTATACCGAATGCACTTCATTTTCAAATATTTCCCACTGTTTCTTTTTAATTTCGCTTACTGTTAAGTACAGATGAAGAAACCCTTTTAAAACATTTAAGTTACAGGGAAGGGGAGGGGGATAGATGGGGGGTTGAAAGGGAAATGTACATAGAAATTGAACATAAAGGCTGTGGCTGGCCAATAAATTTAAGTAGAAGCCACTGTAATTGCCACATTGACAACCCTCCCCTTCAAACATTGAGATAATAATATTGGGAATGATAAAATCATAGGACTCGAAAGAATAGGAAGTTGGGAAATAGATGGAGACTTTCCTCTATTCCTCCAGAGCTGGGAATTTTTTTACTTTTTGGACTACAACCCCCAGAATCCTTGAAAGCTAGGCAAGAACTTTATTTCTACCAGAAGTAAGCCTAAGATGCTCCATGGAATTTGTTTCAAAACTGCTGCTTTGTTTTAAACAAGGGATGAAAATTGTGTGGCTCTCACCGAACCGCAGCATCTCTCCTCATTGGCAATGCTGGCTAGGGACTGCTGGGAATTGCAATCCAAGAACACTCAGAGGGCTCAACTATTCTCAGCCCTGCTGAGTTTTTGTTTAATTGTAGCGGAAATTTGGAGGTCTTTGGTTAGAGGATCCTTCCTTGCTTCTGATGTTTTTGGCCTACAACTCCCATTAGTCTCATCTAGCAGCGGAATGGTAAGAGAATGCAAGCCTTGTTGTACCCATGATACCTGGAAGGCCAGATATTTCTCTTAGGCCTCTGCATCCTTATATACCCATCCCAGTCATTGGGTTTGAGATCTTCGGACAGCAGAGAAGTTGACCTCAACTACATCCAGCCAGGGACCTCTCTTGTGAAGCCAGCCTTCCAAACACATATACCTTGCAGAGTATGAAATCAAGCAAGCAAGCAAGAAATTAAAATACTGTATGTACTCGACTATCAGTCGACCTCATGTATAAGTCGATGGCAGGTTTTGGGGACAAAATTAAGGATTTTGATGTGACCCGTGGATAAGTCGAGGGTAAAACCTAGGGGCATGTAACAAAGGATGAAGCCAAGGAAAACAATGCCAAAGAAATTGCAAACTTCCAGCAGGAATAGCTTTTTCTGCTCACACTAAAGGCTGGATGCATGAGAGAGCAGAGGGGAAAAAATCAATGTTTTCAGGACAGATTACACTCTTGCCTTTCACCAGGGGATGGTTCCTTTTTTAAAGAAAAGAATTAAAGTATAGTACTTACATTTATAAGTAATGTAAGTTATAAGTCGACAGTTTTTTGGGGGTCAATTTTTTGACTAAAATTTCTAGACTTATACATGAGTATATACAGTAGTTGCAATGTCTCTATATTTAACTTCCTGCCAATGGTGCAGAATCAACACAGAAGAAAGAGGTTTTATTTCAGAAGACTTTCGGCCCCTTTGGCAACTCAGGGAGGGGAAATTTCAGCGACCGCCTTTGATTTATGGTCCAAATCAGCATCTTCCCTGGAATCCATCTTTCTGGAGAGGCAAAGAAGATCTGGGAGGAATCCCTCTCCCGGGGGCCAGCTTGAAGTGCCCCTCCAGACCGGCCTTTTTTTATTTGGATTTGGAAAGCCCAACAGCTGCAAATCATGCGCTCTGCCCAACTCTTTGCCTTTTCTCTCTCCTTCCCAAGGAATCCGAGAAGACCGGCGTTTAATGAAACGTGAAGTGTGAAAACTTCCTGAGCTGCCCAGGCGACTCCTAATGATGTTCCCAGATGTGGAGGGATGGGAGAGGATGGGCGATGGGGAAGAAGACCTCACCTTTCCTTAGGGCTTGCAAGAGTAGAGGGACACAAGCTCTCTAAAGTTATGCGTAATTACGCTCAAGAGAGAGTTTTCTGCCCTGATGGTGGTAGACACTTCTGCCTTCTCTTCTCCCTGCCAAGGAAAGCACCAGCCTTCTTGCGATCTCTCTCTCTCTTTTCCTTTTATATTGCACCATCCCAAATCCACAAAATGATACCTTTATTGGACCAACCAAAATGCAC